CTTAGAATAAGTATATTACAGGATTAGTGTCCTGATTTGTCTAGAGGATGCCTGAAGAACTGAAGTGGGGTCTTCCTCTCTGTTCTGCCTTGAGCTCACACAGTGCAGGGGGGAAGCTATGGGCAGAAAGTTATAGCCTGAAGCTACAACAACAGGTAGCCACCTGAGCTAAATAATACCTAAGGCCTGAAGGAGAAGTAAGAGTAAGGATTTCTTTTGGAAATTAGAGCTTTTAAAAGCAGCCACTCCAACAGATACTTGTACACCAATGTTCATTGCAGCACTAGTCACGATCGCCCAAATGTGGATACAATACAAGTACCCAAAAGATGAATGGATAAACAAAATGCATATATATACAATAGAGTATTAATCAGTCATAAAGAGAAATAAAGTTCTGATACATGCTACCTCATGATAAGCCTTGAAAACATTATGCAGTGTAAATAGGTCACACATAAAAGCACAAGTATTGTATGATCCCACTTATTTGAAATATCTAGAATAGACAAATACAGAGATCAAAGTATATCAGTAGCTAGCAGGAGTGGGTGGGAAGGGTGAAAGAGGAGTTATTGCTTAAGGGTTTCTGCTAAAAGATCTGACTCGAGTCAGACCCTAGTCAGACCCCCAGTCAGACCCATTCATGGACCCCATCAGGAACCCCTCCCCCCAAAAAAAGTGATCATAAAATTTGGGAACAGTTTAACATCCCTGAATTGTACTTGTAAAAAACTGTTAAAATAGCAAATGTGTTTATTACATATATTTTGCCACAATTTAAAACATAGGCAAAAGATGTGGACATTTCACTAAAAAAGGTATATGGGTGGCAAATAAACTGAAAAACCTGCTCACAATCATGATTAATTAGAATGGCGAATATAAACACTGATCATAGCAATTGTTGGCAAGTATGTGGACGAACTGGGGAAAACATAAAATGGTATAATCAGTTTAGAACACAACCTGGTAATTTCTTTAAAAAATTAAACATTCATCTACCATGTGATAAAGACACTGTATTTCTAGGAATTAACACAAGAGAAAAAAAAAGCATATGTTCATGTAAAGTCATGTACTAAGATATTCATATCATAGTACCATAACTAAAATAGCCAAACAACCATGTCACATGACAGAATAATAGATTTTTTAAAATTATGGTGCATCCATTCAAAAGTACTAATCAGAAGTAAAAGGAAATACTTATTCATACATGTACCATGGATGAATCTCAAGATAAAGACACCAGACATAAACAGCACTTCACAATTCCAATTTTCTAAATTTTTAGAAAAGGCAAACAAATCTATAATGAAAATAAATAGATGGTTTTTAGGAATGTAGGCTGGGAAGGCAGGGAGAGAATTGCAAAAGGGTATG